CAAGAGCAGGTTCACCCAGGGGCTGCCCACTCCTCAACCTAGGACCCCGAGATGCCCCTGGCAGCAAGGGCCTATCCAAAGGGATAGCACTGTTGCTATATGTGGCAAGGAGCCCTCCTCTTTGTCACAGCTGTGGACGGGAAGGCTTTAGGTGTACCTGGGGCTCAGGGAGATGCCACCACACAGTGGTGCTGACACTCGGCCTGCAGGGGTCCAGTGCAGGGGCACAGTGCAGAGTGCCCAGTGCAGGGGCCCAGTGCAGGGACACAGTGCAAGAGCGTGCAGAGTGCCCAGGCAAGCAGGCACCCCATTCCACTTCCATGTCATTCAGGACATGCCTGAAGGACCAAGTGCATGCCAGGAAGCCACCTGGTTGTGACAGCAGGTGGAAGGGAAGAGTGTTCTAGAAATGGTGTCATAGGTGGTGGTGGGGGGAGCTGATGTCATTTAGCCTAGAGTGGGTGGCTTCAAGGTGGCACCTTGGCTATCATTCAGTATTGCTTCGTCTGCATTCTGACAACACACCCACTGGACACCACTGTGTCCAGCTCTGTGGGAGGCATTGGGATTCAGCAGGGGGCAAACCTGCCCCTGGATCCTGTCTTCATAGGGCGTTCAGGGTCAGGCACAGTCAGGACCATGAGGATGATACTAAAGATGGAAGGCCTCGATTCCATACAGGACAAAGTACGCCAAGGCAGTGAGGGCCCTGACACCAAGGGCTATGGAGGAGGGCACAGGAGAGGTGTCTGCTGCAGGTGGTTGGATTAATCGACATGAGGATTAATGTCCCTCCTAACACTGAGGAGGGGACATCTGATCAGTGACCGGATGATGGGATGCCCCATGAGGATCCATTTCCTCATCCACCTTCTCCAGGTTCCTCAGAGATTCTCCCCAATGGAGAGTGTCCAAAACCCACAGTTTACCACTGGTGTGCTGCTCCCATGCGTTGGGCAAGCATGGCCACTAACATGTTTTGTTTTGTTTTGTTTTTTTCTGGGAACTTGAACCCAGGGGCTCTTTACTACTGAGCAACATCCTCAGTCTTTTGTTAAAAAGTCTTTACTTTGAGGGGCTGGGGATGTGGCTCAAGCGGTAGCACGCTCGCCTGGCATGCGTGCGGCCTGGGTTCGATCCTCAGCACCACATACAAACAAAGATGTTGTGTCCGCCGAAAACTAAAAAATAAATATTATAAAAAAGAGAGAGAATTCCTTAAAAAAAAAAAAAAAGTCTTTACTTTGAGATAATATCCCATTCAGTTACTGAAGGTAACTGGGTGCTGGGGCTATCTCCACCTCCTGAATTGGTGCCCAGCTACCTCTGACATTAACAAGATTCTCTACTTCAGCTCCTGGAACCTAGTGTCCCACAGAACAGTGGTTTTCTAACTGGGAGGCTTGGACCCTGCGATTCCTACTGACTCAAGATAGAGCAAGGTGGGCTTGGGCTAGGGGCAGGAGGTGACTTTCCAGTGTCAGTAGTAAGGGAAGTAGCAGAGGAAGGGGCTTGGGGCTAAGAGCCCTGTGACTCAGAGATGAGGGAAGAACCTCAGGGAGGCAGGGATTAAAGGGCTTTGGGAGGAGGGACAGGTCACTGGAAACTGGTCAGAGGAACAAGGGAGCCAGATGCAGGGAGTGGAAGGGCACACAAAGGCCTCCTGGACTGGGTTCTCTGTGATGCAGCTTCAAATGATCCTACCTGAAATCAGACCAGTTAGAGATGCTCAGGGGAGCAAACTGCCCAGTGAACGCCGCAGGGTAGAGTGCGTGGTGCACACCTGCAATCCCAGCCACTCTAGAAGCTGAGGCAGGATAGTGGATCCTAGGCCAGCCTGAGAAATCTGCCAAGACCTTGTCTCAGTGACAGAATGCTTGCCTAGCACGTGGGAGGCCCTGGGTTCCATCCCCAGCCCTAACGACAACAACAAAAAGACCCAAACCTAAAACATGCCACAGGGAGCCTGGGCTACTGGACGTTGAAGTCTGCTGCTGAAAGGCCGTAATCTGAAGAATTCAGGGGCCCGGGGTGAACACAGGGCCTGGTGTAGGGAGGACTGGAGCAGTTTGAGGGCCATTGCGTCACTGTCCCGCATCTTGGGCAAGTTCAGGGTCCCCCTTGGCCTGGGGAGGGACCCCTGTCTGCTTCTAGCTTTGATGTCAAGCCCTCAAGGAGGGCTGGAGCCTGCAGCAGGCCTGGGAACAGAAATGAATCACATTTCCACAGATCAGCTCCTTGGTGTCCCATCCCAGGGCCATCCCTCTCATGAGTCACCCTGCTATCCCCCCCATGACCAAATATAGTTCCCAAAGTCTAGGGAAACAGAGGGTGCCACGCTGTGCCAGCATCAGCAGGCCTGGAAGGGGCAAGGGGCCTGCCAGCGCACTCTTCACCCCTTCCTCCCAGGCCTGGGGTCTCTGCCTGGACTTCCAGCCTCAGGGACACTCTCACAAACACTGTGGAGGCAGAAGAGAGGGTCTGGCCAAGCAGTGTCCACTTCCTCCCAGGGGAATCTGGGAGGTGTTCCTAGGGACAAAGAGCAAGGTAGGGGGACTTTGTTCTCAAGCTGAGAGTGGGATCACCCAGGGCACAGTCTGGCTGTTCCTAGCTGCCGCTTGGGCACCGCCTAGGCCTTCAAAGCCACCACATAAGGAAATGTTTGTGTCTTCAGCCGCACAGCCTTTGGGCAGTGGCTCTGCTTGGTCCCTCCCTCTCTCACTCCCCGCCCAGGCCTCCTTCCTGACAGGCAGTGGCTAGGGCAGCTGGACCCAAGAGGAACTGCCCTGAGGCCCTGGCAGGGGGAATGGGTCCACCCTAGAGGATTGGCTAACCCCAGGGAAGGCAGGAAGTGCACTGGCCTGCTTGGTGGTCCTCCTGCTATTCTGCCTAGGGGACACCCGCTTGGCAGGGTGTCCCCTCCTCCTCACTTCCCAAGCAGACTGTGGGGGGGGGGCTGCCTGATTCCCAGGGCAGGACATGCCTGGGGACTACCAGGACTGGCCATCTTGGCTTTGAGATCTTGGAGCTGTCACACCCAGGAGCCTCTGGAATGGCCTGGAAAACTCTCTCCCAGAGGAACTCCACACACCCAGCAGCAACAGCCACTCTCAGTCCCTTGAGTCCCTCTCCAGGAGCCCAAAGCAAAGGCCTATTTCTTGGTGTTGTCACAGAGTCATCCAAGTCCCAGCTACTGCTTAGAGGGGAAGCATTTCATAACCTGCCTTCTCATGGGCGGAGATTGTCTCCCTCCGGAGTTTTCATTGAATTACTGACTCAGGCATACAGGCCCCACACAGTCCACAGGCCTCTGCAGGAAGTCAGTAGGCACAAGGTGGCATTCATTCTTCGGCAGTCTCTTCTTGAAGGACCCCTCCTCCCTTAAATGCATCCCTTTGGAGGTCAGCGGCCAGAAAAATTCCCCACCAGGTGTTTCCTGGGCACAGACCCCCATGCTCAGTACCCCATGCTCAGAGCAGCCCTCAGAGGGGGCAGGTCCAGCCTCTGGAGACCTTCCACTTCAGGGGTCCCTGAGCGATGATGGCATCTCCCAGATCCTGAGGCCTGAGAAAGGTTGAGACCTGCCTGTGTGGCGGAGAGGTAAGACCACCTCACTCACTTCTGGTCAGACTCAAGACCAGGCCTCAGGTGCTGCCTTCCTGTCTCCAGCCTTTGGTCCTGTTGGTGGATTAAATGATAGCAAAACCTACCACATGCCAAGCCTGAGTGACACAGGGATCACAGCCAGCTGCTGGACCCAGGACCTGCCTCTCAGGTGGGCAGAACTGCTCTGCTGTGTTATCAGAGTGCTGATGGTCCTGCTCTGATGGACAGCTGGAGTGACCACTACCTTCTAAGAAGCGTCCCAGCTGATGCCAGGAATATGGCCAACTTCCACAGCACCAACTGAAACGCCTAGGCCTGGCCCAACTGTAGAAAGACCAGGAGAGGGAGGATGTACTCCAGGTCACTCCGCTAGTGGAGAGGCAATGTGGCCCACCCACCCCCGCTGTAAATCAAGAGCCAGCATGGGCTTTTGTGCCACTGCCAGTAGTCCCAGCTACTCAGGAGGCTGAGGCAGGAGGGTCACACGAACCCAGGTCAACAAAGTGAGCCTGGGCAATAAAGTGAAACCCCAACCCCCACCCTCCAAATCCTTGGGTGTCAGAAAGTTTATTTCAGATGGAAATGATGTGGCCTACACCAGAAGACTGTCTGGGAAGTGGCCCATTCTCTCATGAGACCTGTTCAAACGGGCTCAGTGACATACTGAGGTTGTTGTGGACTGCTGTTCTCAGTGGGAAGTTGGAAGTAGGTGGGTCAAGTTTTCTTCCTGCACCTCCCCTCAACAAACAGGTCGCCTACACACCCTCCTTTCCATGACTGCTGTCTCTACTTAGAACCCCGTCTTCTTCTCTCTTGCTCCTTCGAGGCGGGGTCGTGGGCCTTGACCCTGATCCTTCCACACTAGGCCTTGGCAGCCATACCGGTCTCCCTTCTGCTTTCTCCGGAGGCTTTGCCTGACCAGGAGGAGCCAGACGGTCTCCTCTACAGCTGCATCATGACGCCTGTAACTCTTTGTGTCCCCCACCGGCTAGTGCTCCTGGCCACTCCATATCACTTGTCTGCAGTGCAAAAGTCGGGTCCACAACACAACAGCAGCCCACATGTCAGTGAGGAAGGAATAGAGGGAAGGTTAAGAATCATACTGGGTGTGTGTTTTGGCGGGAGTGGAGGATCACACAGGGTGGCAGGAACGTCATTGTATTTTGCACTACACTCATAGGAGGAAATGAATCCAAACAGGCCACAATGGGGCAGTTCTGGCGGTTCACAGGACGTGGGGGCGGGGCTTGCACTTGCAGGCCCGCCCCCTCCCCGAGTGCAGGTGTCCGCGTACACTCCAGGTTCCTGCAAACGCGGGCTCCAGCACACTCAGGCTGGTGAGCAGCCGGACGATGTAAACGCAAATGTGCACGCACTCAGGTCCCCAGGTGTCCTCAAGCTCGTGATGAGTTACGTGAAGCCCCACGAGGTCCTGCCTGGCACTGCAAACACGACTTTGGGTGCGCACGCCGGTCAGCGGGCACGCTCCGAGACTGCACACCCGGGACGGCGCACGCGAGGCCGGGCGCGCCCCGGGGGCCGGCCCACAGCTGCAACCCGCGGCTCTCAAGGCTTTGTTGAGCCAGCTTCCGGGCGTCCATCACGCGAAGGCCGCGCGCCGGCCCAGGCGAGGCGCTCGAGCACGAAATGGCGGGCGGGGGCGGGGCGAGGGCGGGGCGCGGCGACCGGCCGCTGCCCACTCCCGAGCCCGGGCGGGGCGCGCCGCCCTCTGGCGCAGGCGCAAGGCGCAGCGCGCGTTCCCGCGTCCCTCCCGACGCGCGCCGGGACACAAAGGGCTGGAGGGAAAGCACGGAGCGCGGGTGGGGCCTGCGGAGCGGCTGGCGGTCGGGAGCGGCCTGGAGCGGACTCGCAGGGCCGGAGCCGGGCTCGCCGGAAACGCGCGCTGGAGCGCGGGGCGGGGCCGTGTGGCGCCGTGGCCTCTCGGCTCTCCTCCTCCAACGGCCGTAACGGCGCCGCGGGCCGGGCGGGGCGGCCGCAGTGCGCAGGCGCCGGGCGCGCCGCGAGGACGGGCCTCCATTTTCTTCTCGCGCCCTCGTGGCGGTCTGCGCGCGCTTCCTCCTCGGCGGAGGGACAGGCATAGCCCGCGAGGCCTTCGCTTCGGCGCCGAGCGCGAGACGCGGCCCTTTGGAAAGTGCCCGCGCGATTTGGGATGCGAGTCGCGTTTCCCACGGAAAAAGAAAATGCACCCGGGGCCCGAAATTAATGCAGGGTCTCCACGTCGCCCTGAGGACGCTGGAAAATAAAGCCGTTTTATTACTATTTTTTCCTTCTTGGTGCCCTTAACCACTGAGCCTCGTCCCCAGCCCTTTAATTTTTTTTCTTTTTTTAAACTTAGAGAAAGGGCCTCGCTGAGTTGCTTAAGCCCTCGCTAAGTCCTGAGGCTGGCTTTGAACCCGCGATCCTCCTGCCTCAGCCTCCCGAGCCGCGGGGATTAGAGGCATTGTGCACCGCCCTTGGCTGAAAATAAAATTATTTATTAGAGATGTTCGTTGAATGTAATGGTAACAATTTATTTTTATTTATGTTTTGCATGGTACTGGGGACAGCCCAGCCCTTTAGCTTTTTCAGATGGTCTTCAGCAGCCCTGGCTGGCCTCGAACTTGGGACCCACTTGCGCAGCTTCCGTGGTACAGGCCTGTGGCCAACGTTATTTTTAACCATAAAATAGTATATGTTTCATAATATTAAATATTGAAAGAAGGAAATGATAAGCTAGCATTCGCTGTCTGCTTAAAACCAGCCAAACCTGGCCGGGTGCCCGGTGACTCTGGAGGCAGGCAGGAGGATCCCAAGTTCAAGGCTAGCTTTAGCAACTTGCAAGGCCCTAAGAATTGAGCGAAACCCTGTCCCAAGATAAAAATAAAAAGGACTGGGGATGTGGTTCAGTGGTTAAGCATCCCGGGTTCAACCCCAGGTTACACACTGGGGATAAAAAAACCGGAACTTCAATTGAGCACAAGTATACTATTTATGGTAACATAGAAATAATTGCCATTTTTTAAGAGGTTTTGTTTTTGTTGTTGTTTTAGATACTGGGGATTGAACACTGGGACACTTTACCACCTATCTATATTTCCTACCCTTTCTTATTTTTTGTGAGATTCTTGTTAAGTTGCCTGGACTGGCCTGGAGTTTGTGGTCTTCAGCCTCTGGAGTTGCTAGGATTATACACCTGTCTCAGGGGGTGTATTATTTTCAGAAAAGTAATAGGGGAATGATTAGAATATTGTAAAAGTATTTTTAAATTTATTGTGAAAACGAGCCTGGTGTAGTGGTGCACACCTGGAATCCTAGCAGCTCAGGAGACTGAGGCAGAAGGATCATAAGTTTAAAGTCAGCCTCAGTAACTTAGTGAGACCTCATCTTTAAATTTAAAATATATATATAGATAGAGGGCTGGGAATGTGGCTCAGTGGTTAAACATCCCTGGTGGGTTCAATACCTGGTAGGAAAAAAATAAAATAAAATTCATTGTGAAATGGCATAAACTTTGCAGCAAAAATTACTTGTAAGCTTGGCTCAGTGGCATAGGCCTGGAGGCTGAGGCAGGAGGATCACAAATTCAAGGCAAGCCTCAGCAGTTTAGCAAGGCCCTAAGCGACTTAGAGAGACCCTATCTCTAAATAAAAAATAAAGGGCTGGGCTGGGATTGTGGCTCAGCAGTAGAGCGCTTGCCTAGTGTGTGGGAAGCCCTGGGTTCGATCCTCAGCACTATATAAAAAATAAACAAATAAAATAAAGATATTTAAAAAAATAAAGGGCTGGGAATGTGGTTTTGGTTAAGCACCACTGGGTTCAATCCCCAGTACCAAAAAAAAAAAAAAAATTACTTGTAGTGTTCAATTGAACACAATATTAACTGATAAGCAATAAAAGAAATGTGTTCACAAAAATACTTTGTAGAATGAGGTGGTCATTTTATTTCAAGGAAAGTGCTGTATTTCAAATTTTTAATGGTGAAAAGTACCGATGCTGTAAATGGGACACTGGGACATGTACAATGTGACAGTGTTGAGCAGAATGCTGCTGCTTGACAAGGCTCCAGCGTGTTGCCAGATGTGGTTACTTGTGACAAGTCGTGGCTTGTGTTTTCATTTTTTTTCTAAACAGTTATGCATTGGTTATTGTGACATAACTCTAAGAGGTAAACCCATATGGATTTATTGTAAACTCTGGACATAGTGGAGTATCAAGAAATTGCTATAACCTTGACTTGTGGAAAATGTGCTCAAGGAGAACCCAGTGGTGGTGTTCTGCTTGGGAGTAAGGTAGTTCTACAAATGCTTGGAAGTGGTAAAGGATACACAGTCACACTGTTGTTTGTTTTTGGTTTTGATAACCTATTTACTGCTTATGACATGTTACACGTTTGAGATACTGTAGTCTAAGCTGTGGGCACCAGGAGAGAAAACAGACAAACAAATATCATCTAAAACCCTTAATGCAGATGAAAAAAAGCAAGAGGATTGTTCAACAATCAAAAGAAACAAAAAGAAACAGAGCACAGCCCGTGTTCCTCCACAATGGCCCTGAGTCCCTACAGCAGTTTATTGGGGGTGTGGATTAACATGGTGGTTGGTTTCTAAGTATTCCAGCTCTATTAGAGGTAAAAAATGGTGTTGGCCTTTACTCGCTGGAGTAATTGATATGTGTGTTGTAAATGCATGGATTATTCACAGTTTTGTGAACAAAGACAAGAAAGATCTCTAAATTTGTTGTCTCCAAAGAGACATCTGCATATATTAGGAAGCAACAAGAACCCATCAGGAGGAAGAAAGCAAAACTTGTGGAACTCCCATCCAAGACAGCATCAGACCTGACATAGGGAGCCATGCTGTTCTCAAAGGACAAGAAAGAGTAGTCAAAACAAGTCACATCATGAGAAACCAGCAGTGTATTGTCAAAAATGTGATTTAACCCTTATTTGAAGGGTTTTGCTCTTTTCCACCGAAAGTAATTGTTAAACAGGTTATGAAAGTCACTTCTTTGTATGTTGTATAATGAATGAAAGGATATCTTATTTGCTCAATGTCCTATTTATAGAAAGTCTTATATAGGTAAAAGATACTCCATTTTCCCAGTGTGCTATTTATAGAACAATCTTCTCCCCATCCCCCAGTGGTACTGGGGATTGAACCCAGGGAACCCAGGGATGATGCTCTAACGCTGAACATCTTTAGCCCTTTTTTTAATTTTTTATTTTGAGACAGAGTCTCATCCAGTTGTTTACAGCCTTGCTAAATATTGCTGAGGCTTGCCTTGAATTTATATATATATATATATATATATATATATATATATATATATATATATATATATATATATGTTATGGATGAACACAATATCCTTATTTTGTTTATTTTTATGTGGTGCTGAGGATCGAACCCAGTGCCTCACATGTTCGAGGCAAGTGCTCTGCCTTGGAGCCACAACCCCAACCCTGGCCTTGAATTTTTGATCATCCTGTCTCAGCTTCCTGGGGAGCAAGATTATAGGCATGTGCCACAGCATCCAGCTGTATTTTCATTCTTAATGATTATAGGTGCCCAGCCAATCATTGTGCACCTGTGCAAGTTTCATTTGAAATATTCCCAGAATTAAAAACTTGGGACTTAATGAGTGGTTGAGTCTTGCCCAAGTATAACAGGCAGGATCCTTCATCCAAATTGAGATGCCTGCCTTGAAACCTGACTCCAGGCTCTGTTAATTGTGTCCATGTTTATTTCTCTCTTTAAAACTATCAAGATGGGAACCTCAGTACCCAGCATTACTGACAAATGATAGGTGCATCTTTTGCTTGGTGAGAGACTCAACAGGTCTTTCAGTCCTATTAATAACACATCATGGACTCACCTGTTGATCAAAACTGTTCCTATCCCATTTTTTAGTCTCATGTAAAGCAGCCTGCCCTTAGATTATTTTATTGCAATATGAATTTAGTTTTTTTCTTCCAAGTAGTGTCTTTTTTTAGGTTTATTCACTATAATTTCTTAAGTATAAGGAAACTCTAATGCTTTTTCAATTTTCTGAGTAGAAAATGAAGCTGGATATGGTTTCACACACCTGAAATCCCAGCAACTCAGAAGGCTGAGACAGGAGGATCTCAAGTTCTAGGCCAGTCAGCAATTTAGTGAGGCCCTAAGCAAGTTAGAACCTGTCTCAAAATAGAAAATAAAAAGGAATGGGAATGAGACTCTGTGGTAAAAGCAATTCTGGGTTAAATCCCCAGGGGAAAGAAAAAAGAAAAGTAGGACCAGAATGTGATTTCTGGTCTCACACAGACATAGCCTGTCTTCTTTTTTTCTCTTCAATTTATTTAATTAATTAATCTATTTATTTATTTCGGTACTTGGAATTTAACCCAGGGGCACTTTACCATTGAGCTACAGCCCCAGCATTTTTATTTTTATTTTATTATTATTATTTTTGGTCCTGGGGGTTGAACCCAGGGCCTTATGCATGCAAGATAAGCATTCCACCAACTGAGCTATATCCCCCGCTCACCTCAGCCTTTAAAAAAAAAAAAAAAATATATATATATATATATATATATATATGGTTGTAGATGGACACAATTCTTTATTATTTATTTATTTTTTTAAATGTGGTTTTGGGGATCAAACCCAGGGCCTTGCACATGCTAGGCAAGTGCTCTACCACTGAGCTACAACCCCAGCCTTTTAAATTTGCTGCAGCTACTCAAGTTTAAGGTATTCCTGCCTCAGCTCCCAAGTCACTGGGGCTACAGGCATGAACCACTAAATCTGGCTGTACTTTCTATTGGACTACAGATTTCTAACAGGGATTTTGAAATGTTCCTATAAAATCAAAAACGTTCCACTAACTGAAAAATTTTCTTTCATTTTGTAGAAGAAAGTACTTCAACACTTGCTGGCTTGTGGTTTTCCAGTTACTCACCTCTGGGTTCTGTCTGAAAATTGGAAAAGAACACATCCTGGGCTGGGGTGTAGCTTGGTGATAGGGCTCTTGCCATGAGGTTCTGGATTCCATCCTGTGCAATGCAAAAAGAAAAAAATGCCCTGGCAGGGCTGTGCAGATAATTGGAGGTAATATTTGTAAAGTGCCTAGACCATAGTAAAGTGCCTAATTAATAAATGGCTGCAATTATTTTGGGTTGTTATTGTATGTGAAAATAGGGACTGCTGGGGCTGGGGATGTGGCTCAAGCGGTAGCGCGCTCGCCTAGCATGCGTGCGGCCCGGGTTCGATCCCCAGCAGCACCACATACCAACAATGATGTTGTGTCCGCCGAGAATTAAGAAAAAATAAATAAATGTTAAAATTCTCTCTCTCTCTCTCTGTGCCCCCTCTCTCTCACTCTCTCTTTAAAAAAAAAAAAAAAAAAAAAAAAAAAAAGAAAATAGGGACTGCAAAAACTAGCAGAAAAACAAGGCTGCCTACAGATCCCTTTTGTACCCATTTCTAGTCCAAACAATACCCCTAAAGCCTTTTTATTTTTACTTAGGTGTGCTGGAGATTGAACCCAGGGTTTTAAGCATGCTGAGCAAGAGCTCTACCACAGCTACTCCCCTGGCCCCTGCTCAAAAATTTTAAGCCAGACCTGGTGACCCATGTATAATCCCAGAGATTCAAGAGGCTAAGGAAGGAAGATTGCAAATTTGAGGTCAGCCTGGGCAATTTAGCATGACTCTGATTCAAATATTAAAAAATTATAAAGGGCTGTGGATGATTCAGTGGTAGAGCACTCCTGGGTTCAATCCCCAGTACTAAAAAGCAACAAAATAAAACAAAACCTTTACATCAAGGAAAGAGAAATTTTAAAATTCATTTTAGAAGCAAATCAGGGGGCTGGGGATGTGGCTCAAGCGATAGCGCACTCACCTGGCATGCATGCGGCCTGGGTTCGATTCTCAGCACCACATACAAATGTTGTGTCCGCCGAAAACTCAAAAATAAATATTAAAAAAAGAAAAGAGAAGCAAATCAGATACTTGCTGGTGCATCAGCTCCTTGTCTTATCAGAAGTAAATCTGCTGGGCATTGTGGCACGTGCCTGTAATCCCAGGGGCTCAGGAAGCTGAGGCAGGAGGATTGTAGGTTTGAGGCCAGCCTCAGCAATTTAATAAAGGCTGTAAACAACCTAGTTGAGACCCTGTCTCAAGATAAATCATTAAAAAAAAAAAAAAAAAAGGTCTGGGGATGTGGCTCAGTGGTTAAGTGTCTCTGGGTTCAAACCCTGGTACCCCCCACCAAAAAAAAAATAAAGTAAATCCTAATAGGTTTACATGAAATAGACCCTAGGATGGCCCCCTGCCCATCCTTAGAAGGGCCTGAAGGATGGGGCTCAGCATCAGCTTTCCCTGTGGGAGCAAAGGGCCCCTCTCAAACCAGGGGGCCTCTGCCAGTCGCAGTGCTCTCTACATCTGGCTCTCTACATCAGCAACTTAGCAAGACTCTGTCTCAAAATGAAAATTAAAGGGCTGGGGAATAAAAAGGGCTGGAGATGTGACTCAGTGGTAAAGCATCTCTGGGTTTAATCCCCATTACAAAAATAAAGTCCAATGGGAGTGCCTGCTTTGAATTTTTTTTTCCCTTGAAAATGCTTTACTCTAAGAGTAAAATACAAAAGCTCCCCACCTGCCTGTGGTGCTCATCCCAGTCACGTGACTCTCTTTAGCAGTTCACATAGGATCCTTGCAAATCTTCTTTGCATTTAAAAAGACCACGCACCCACACAGGCTTCCTGAAAACTTTCTACGCTCATCCAGAATTTTCCCTCACAGCCTTTTGCACTTTCTTCTTAAGTGACAGACAACTCCTTGAGGAATCAGCCCTCTGTTGGCTAAATTTGTTATGTTACATGGTTTTCAGCCAGTGGGCAGTCCTCGGGTGCCTGGGGATGCGCTGAAGGCTGCCCTCAACTCTCCTGCAGTCGATCCGCATGGCCACCCGAGGCATTTTGATTAATGTCCCCATTTTACCAGAGGAGTCTGGGCCTGGTGTGAAGGTGCACTCCTGTCATCCCGGCATTTGGGGAGGCTGAGACAAGGGGATCCCAAATTCCAGGCCAACCTGGGCAGCGAAGTGAGGCCCTGTTTAAAGGAAACGGATTGGAGATGTGACTCAGTGGTGGAGGACCCTGGGTGTTCCACCTTCAGGACCAATAAATAATACCAATATTAATGATGTTAATAAAAATTTCTAAAAGGAGGCACCTGAGGTATAGAGAGTTAAGAAGTGTCCCCAGGTCAGGTAGGCAGCCGTCTGCTGCTGGGCAGGGTCTGAACCCTGGTTCCTGCGTCCAGGCTCAGGATCCTCCATTAGACTCAGGAAGACTCCTAAATCTTGCACTGGGCTCTGCCCATGTCCCTTGGGGAGTGGATGTTTTGGGGCACCTTCCCTGTGCCTGGTCCTGACCACCCCCAACCCCCAGGCTGGAAGCTCAGCTCTGCCCCTTGCTAGCTGGGTCGCCTGATGGGGGAAGGTCAAGCAGTGGAGCACACCCAAGCTTCTGTGAACATTGGCCGTGGTTGTTGTCTTGCTCAGAGTGGGGAGGTGGCAGAGGAAGGTGGGCTCTCCGGTCACTGGTAGTGGCATCAGTTGATGAGTAGATGTGTGAAATTCTAACCCAAGTTTTTTTTCTTGGCCTCAGAATTCTTTGCATCTGGAACTTTGAGACAAGTCAAGGTGATGGATAGCTGGCTTGCCTGGTCATTCCAGGGGGCAGCAGCATCCTGTTGTTTCCGAAAACTCAGTCCTTATCCCCATGCCCATCCCATAAGGAGGACACAGTTTTGAGGAAAAAGAAAGTTTATTGCTTTGCTAACAAAGGAGAAGCACGGGGGACTCCTGCCCCAGAGGCTGTGATTCTGCACATGGGTCGGGGGAATGAGTTTTGTTTTTGTCTTGGTGGCTGGAGGTGGGGGGTGGGTTCTGGGGATTGAACTCAGGCACTGGACCACTGAGCCACATCCGCAGCCCTATTTTATATTTTATTTAGAGACAGGGTCTCACTGAGTTGCTGAGCACCTCACTTTTGCTGAGGCTGGCTTTGAACTCATGCTCCTCCTGCCTCAGCCTCCCAAGCTGCTGGGGGAATGGGATTTTTAAAGAGGTGATTCGTTACGTTCCATGTGTTCTCTGTATGAAGCTATGATTCACTCGTTAATATAGGAGAGAGTCATTCCGAGATCTTCTGGTGCCAGCCCCCAAATCTAAGTTACTTGGTTCTCTTGAGAGTGTGTGCTCAAGCACAGTCTGTCTAGGATGCTGCCGAAAGAAGAGTAATCCTGCTTCCCCAGGATTAGGGAGAGTGAGAGATTAGGGAGGAGGGCAGAGAGAGAGGAAGAGAAAGAAACATGTCCTTCTAAATTATGTGACAGTGGCAGGGCAGCCAGGGCTGTATTTGAAGCACACGGTGGACCACTGTTGAGTGGTTACTGATAGGCAGGGATGCCCCCACAGCAGGTTGCTGCCACCACCCTTGAGCTCTGAACTTGGGGCTGCAGATGGCCCCCAAAGGCTACCCACTTGCCCACGAGCAGCTTTCTGAGGTCCACCCTGGCATCCAGCCCTCACGGCTTTGGTCCCTCACTGCGTCTGCCCCAGGGCTCGGCATTTAGTGCTTCTTCAAGAACAGCTGCCTGGTTTCACCACTGTCCTCTGTACGTGGGAAGAGAGCAGATGCTTTTTTTTCTGGGGGTGGGGGTGGGGTGGGGGAGGGGAGACCTGATGCAGGAGTCAAAACTGGAGCTCCAGCCTGCATGGGACAGTTTAGACTGGAAAGGCATCTTGAGGTAGGGAAGTCAAATGTCTGAACTACCTAGTTTTTCCGGGAGAGGTGCTGGGGACAGAACCATGAACTATGAGCCCCCTCAAAAAAACTTCAGATAGTTTCATAATTAAGAAAAAATTAGTTGTTGATAGACCTTTATTTTATTTATTTAAATGTGGTGCTGAGAATCGAACCCAGTGCCTCACACATGCCGGGCAAGTGTGCTACCACTGAGCCCCAGCCCCAGACAGTATATAATTTATTTTTTGTTTGTATTTGTTTCTTTATTTTTGCAATACTGGAGGCTGAACCCAGGAATGCTTCCTCTCTGAGCTACATCCTCAAACTGCCGCCCGTCCCTCAGCCTTTATGTAACACATTTGAGACAGTCTTGCTAAATGGTTCAGGCTGGCCTCAAACTTGTGACTTTCCTGCCCACTTGGCCTCCTCCTGATTAGCGGATTTAAGAGGGGTCCACTTTATGATTTGAATATAGCCCTTGCTGCTCTGCCATTGAGACTTATTTTTTAAACAGACAGGTTTCTTTCTTATCCTCTCTCCCTCCTCCCTAATCTCTCTCCCTCTCTAATCTCCCCCTCCCTAATCCCGGGAAACAGGATTACCTTTCTTCCCTGTCCTAGGAGGGTTGTCCGCCCTTGAGCACACACTGGCCACTGGAACCAAGTAATTCAGACTTTGTGGATGGCACAAGAAGATTTCAGAAATGATTATTTTCCAAATTAACAAGTGAATGATAGAGACCAGTGCCTTGTAGCCTCTGAATCACCTCTTTCAAAAGCCCCTATTCCCCTTGCTGGGCAGAAACACAGCCTCAGGGATAGAAGTCCCCTTTGTTCCTTTGCTAGCAAAGCCATAAAATTTCTTTTTCCTTGTTCTTGAAACCATGACCTTATTATTGGATTGGCATTAGGGACAAGGACAGTGCTTTTGGTAACAAATTGGTGACTCACAGGGACCTGAGAGCACCCTGCCCTGGCTTTCTTGGGCAGGTCTGTCTCCCCAGCAGTCCCACCTCCCTGCTGAGGATGTGAGTGAACTTGAGAGCCAACTGCTGGAGAGTTAGGAGGCCAGTGTTTGCCGCAGGTCCAACCAGAGGAGCTATCCGTCCCAGCAGCTTCAGGGAACTCCCGTGTTCTCTCCCTGAACCATACAGGGTCCTTCAGGGAACTCTCTCCCTGAACCATACAGGTTGCTCCATCTTGGTCCACTTTGAGAAAAAGGAAACCAAACACAGTACAGTTGTGACACCCTTAGCCACCTGGCAAGTTCCCCCATGTGCACTCGAGACCCTTGATTCCACACATCTGGCTTCTGTTTTGGGGAACATCTGGTTCCTCTTTGTGGGGACATCTGTGGCACTGCTGTTGTAGGAGTCTCAGTTAAGTCAGAATCGAGAAGTTACTCACTTCGGTTTGGTGTAGGTTCTCATCTGTTTGACCTGGAGTATGGGAATTTCCTTGGGTTGTCTGTGTTACTGCCCCTTTTAAGACATGAGCAATGCTGAATTGATTTCGTAGGTAGTCCCTTGGGAAAGATCTTGGCTAATCTGTCTTAAAAAGTTCCCATCTGTAGTCTGTGTTTGGTGATCCTCTCTGGTTATCTGTCTCTGAGTTCCTTTTTTGTACAATCTTGCAGACAACCTTGCAGTTGGAGTTTGTCAAAGGTAAAGTAAGTAGAAGAAAGGGCCACCTCTAAGTAGTAGCCAGAGATCTCTTATTGGTCCTTTAAGGCATGGGCAGTGCTATATTGATCCTATAGGTAGTCTCTTGGGAAAGATCTTGGCTGAAAGGGCCACCTTACAGGTTTATACCCTTTAAGACATGGGCCATGCTGTGTTGGTCTTACTGGTAGTCTCTTGGGAAGAAAGATCTGAGTGGTCACCCATAGATATGAGCCTGTGTAAGAGAAAGAGGTGTGACTGTAACACAACCTGGCCTTTGAATGGTTTTCTGGATTAGTTTACAATCTGGATTAGTTTACAACTCCAATTGGAGTTGGTTTGTCCGAGGAAGAGTCTGTGGAAGAGATTCTGTGCATTCAGGCATTTATGTAGTTGCAGATAAAGAGCCTGAAGGCAGAAACTAAGTGGAAGGTGCAAAAAGGTACTGCCTCTGGTGTGCAAGGACAGGAGGACATCAGAAGAAAGGGTTAAAAAAACATTTAAATCTGTTCAACTCTGGGCTAGCCCCAGGCAGTTGCAGATCAATTTTCTGTGGGGCAAGGACACCAGCCCTGAGCTGGGGGGAGAAAAAAAAAAGAAAAACTGTCTGCTGTAGAAAAATGGGCAAAGAGAACCTGGCCTCTGCCCTGCCTTCCAGCCCCTTTTGTGGAAGGGGATAGCCATCCCTGGGGCAAGGTGATTCTTGCTGTGACAATATACCTTCAAATTATCAAATGCATGGGGAGACTGGCAGGATAAACAACTGCATCCAGAAAGGAAAAAAAAGAAACTAAAGCCAACCTGTGTTCTGTGGGCAACCTCTGCAAAGGGATCTTCAAAGAAACCTCAAGAAAAGGATGCAAGGGCCTCTTCCACTGAACATCAATATGCTTAGTCTAAAAAAAAAAAAAAAAAAGCCCAAAAAGTGCTTCTGAATATAAATGACAAAACTCACTTAGAGTAAAAGACATCATGAGAATGATAAGGGAGATAGGTCAGACTTAAAAATATCCTGAGCTCCAGGCCCTTGAATGTAACCAGGGAGAAAAAGATTAAGATGTAGTTTTTGTATATACCAGATTGTCTGACCATCTCCTGGGATGACATATGCTGTGTAAATTAAATGCACAGATAACATTCATAAGGATTGATTCAGAATGTGCATTTAAGAAAGGGTCTGAAACTAGCAGAGATATAAGAAAGTTATAGGTATAGAAATATATTTTAATGTGGAAAACTAGAAGGTAAAATAAATGTTTCTGAATGAGAAAGTATTTTGCATGGTAAAGTAATATTCTTATGCTAAAGTCCAAGATGAAAGACAGGACAAAGCTAAGGATGGGAAAAAAGCTGTAGAACGTCTGAGTAAGTGGCAGAAGGTTCGTGGAAGGTAAATCTCAAAAAGTTTGTGTAGGGACTGGGGTTGTAGCTCAGTGGTAGAGCACTTGCCTGCCCTGTGTAAAGCCCTGAGTTCACTTCTCTGCATGGCATATAGATAAAGGAATAAAATAAAGGTCCATCAACATCTAAAAAAAGTTACTCTGTGTGATTAAATAAGCTATAATTAGCACCATCAGTTAAAGTTATTTGAATTTTAATGTACATAAAACAAAGCCTGAACATTGATCTGTTCTTAT